AATGTTAAATATCACCATCATCAGCACATAAATCTACATCTTCAACGCCTTCGCCACCACCACCAATCATCCTTTATGGCCAAGTTGCTTGTACACGGCTCCAATTAAACATGTTCATCATATTGGTAATGATGACCATCACTGATCATCATTACCAATGCCCTCATGGTTACGTTCAAACTGAATACTTTCATCCTCAACAGCAGCATTGTTCAAGCGACCTTTGCCTGTTGATGGCTCTGCTTCAGCCCATCAATTATCAGAGCTATCAAAGCGCCGGATAGCAGCGAGCCTCAGCAGAGAGGGTGCTATCATTGGAAGCCAAGGAGGACCATGGTGCACAGCAACATGTTCTAGCATGTCACGCACTCGACCCGCACAGGGCCAGCACACACGCTAATTGGGGAATGAGGCGACAAAGGGCAGCACTCTCTATTCCCAGAGTCTTTATCACTTAATCCCCGTACCGAGGAAAAAAGTCAATAAATTTTAAACACAAATTTATCAAAAGACATATTTAGCTATAATACAGATAATGTTTTGTGCAGAGCCACACAGCAATAAAGCAGGTCCTACTATCATGTGGCATTTTAGCAGCATTTTGATCGAACTCTGCATACTTAGTGTCAAAAAATATGGATGCCGCCGTGACGACATGACAAAACTTCAGGTGCACACAGTGCAACAAAAGTCACAAAGAATGCCATTGTTCTGTGCATACTTGGAGCTTTTTGTTCACGGAAGTTGACATACACAGATGTTTTTATCAAATGCTGAAGTAATGCGAACATTTCAAACAGATTTTTTCAAGGCAATCCAGCACCTAGTTTTTGCGGGTACTACCAGATAAGGAAAGGAGCTTGCCTAGGATTTTTAGAAAATTCCACTCTCGACAATTTCACCTTGGCTCGTGACTTCCAAAGCTGTGCGGCCACATCACAAACACGTGTCTTTGCTGGAGGTACATTTAATGCTGCCACACGCACATCCCAATAAATTTCTCGCTATTGGGATGCTCAGCAACAGATCGTCCATTCACCATGATGCTGCTGGTGGGCTTGACATGTGCACAGGTTGGGCCAAAATTGTTGTTTAAGAACTCCCGCCATGTTTTTGAAGTAGCGCTCAACACACAACTGCTGCTCATTGTCACTAGCCTTGCCATTATGGATGACATCTACGGTGTTATGAAAGCACACACCCGACCAGCGAGCACCTAGCCCAAGTGTAACAACATAGTGCTGGAACTGCTCCGAACACAAATGCGGTAGCGTCGACACGATCATGGACGACCACGAAAGCAAGTGCGCATCCAGCACATGCAGGCTCAAAGCAACGCTACTTCATGCAAAGCTGTGGACAAAGCTGTGGTAGATGCCATCACAAATAGCAACGATGCAGCTCTCAAGGCATGGGCACGGTCACCATGCACAAGTCGAAAACTGAACTACCGTTTTCCGCAACTGCTGTGCAGGCAATCGTGGTCACTATCGTCACAATCATCAATAGTAAATAAGCTTTGAAGGTACGCAGCTAACACAGTGGAAAGTTTAAAAACAGTGCAAAATCACTTTTCTGTGGTTCACTTATGACGATAGGACAGGGCAGAGCTTCGACATTTATTTTTGAGTTAGCTTCTAGCGAAGCTTTGGCACGCTTGTTTGCGACACTGCACGCATGGCACGATCTGAGAGTAACCCTGCATACTGCATATTCTTGTGTATAGCTTGCACCCCCAACTACAAATCGGTGGAAGAAAGAAAAATATAAACCCGACGCAAAGCCTCCTTCCTTGCATTACCATGAAGGCGGGCTTTGAAGCCAACTTGTGCACTGAAAGTAGCATAAGATAACCCACATTTCAGGTTTGTTTCCAAACTTCATTTATATTTTGTGAGTTATAGGCAAAAAAATACTTTCACTGAGTGTGCAGCCAAGTACACCTGAGTTAGCGAGAGTTCATGACAAAAGCTAACGCATGCGCTTGCTGGGAGGAAAGGACATGTCGTCATCATCAGATCTTGGTAACTTTTGGGGTCTAAACATGAAATTTTGCTGCAACAAATTTCAGAGACAATTAATTTTTCACGTGTTCCGTTGATTTCATTGTAGTGGGATTAAAGTGTATATTATGATTTTGTATTTATAGTAATCTGGACCTGTACTTGTACCAATTGTGAAAAATATTTATGCAGTTACGTTTATAGTACATGTTTACTTGTAAATTATTTACTGTACCACTGCTTCTAAAGCTGTTCGTATACAAAATGCTGTATTAGATCCATAATTATCCTTATAAGCTAACAGTCTAAATACTTCAGTAAATATTTGTCCTGCATTCATTGACATAAACTCCAATTCGACGATGTTTGAAATTTTAGGTAACCATTTCGAGCAAGCAGCCTCTACCGCATCTATAGTCAGATAAAACTCTAGAATATCTGAGGGGCCCTGCTCATATAAGCGAAGCACGCCTGCTGATAGCCTCCGCGACTAAAGAAATAGTCCCGATCATACAATCGGCAATGCTCTTTGAAGGGATACAGTAGAATCTCGATGATATGATCACGGCTAATACGAAACTTGGGGTGATACGAATTTTTCTGTGATCCCGGCCGAGGCCCATTAATTTACTATGTGCTAGAGTACGGTTGTTACAAACTTATTCTTTACCCGAGTCGTTTCATACGAATAAACGCCACCCCACCGACGGCCGTGGAAGAAAGCAGCGTGCACGCACGCGCTGAAATGCGTGCTGCGCCGCCGGTTTGGCACGTTGCCAGCGCTGCCTGCGAGCGGCGGGCGACAGATCTGCGTGATCTCGGACGCTGGAGTGCGCTAGTGTGCCTTTTGCTTTCACTTGAAGACTCCAGATGGCGCTGGTGATGGCGGAGACACAAATCCAATTTAATCTTTGTTTTGCTTGGTGGTGGTTGTTCTCTGGTGCAGACACATTGTTACTGTAGTGTGGAGGCTGTCGACACTGTCTTGCCCAGTCGTGCACAAGTATTTTTTTTGTTGCGACTTTTTGAGAGTCGCAGCAAGCCATGCCTCGCAAGCGGAAGGCTCTCTCCTTTAAGGAGAAACTGGACATTCTTCGAAAGGACGATGAGGATTCGAAAAGAAAACCCACGGAGTTGGCTAAGGAGCTAGGCCTCACTAAGTCGACATTGAGCACAATTGTTGGGCAGCGGAACATAATAATGAAAAATGTGCTTTCATTCAGCGTCAACGCGAAGCAAGCGAAGACAGCACAACACGTGAAACTTGAAGAAGCTTTATTGATTTGGTTCAAGGAAGTTACTGCAGCCGGTGTGAACATTGACAGCAAGGTTTTGCATGAAAAAGCCGACGAGATCGCACTTGCTCTGCACATCGACAAATTCCAGGCCTCAGGTGGGCGACTTCACCGTTCCGAGACGAGACACAGTCTCGTGTACAAAAGCATCTGCGGGGAAGCCAAGAAGGCTGACGAGACCGTTGTTAGCGATTGGCTCGCGAAGCTGGAGTCTCTTATTTTGGGGTATGAGCCTCGTGATGTTTTTAATGCAGATGAGGCAGGCCTGTTTTTTAATCTTCAACCCGAGAAGAGCCTGTGCTTGAAAGGTTAAGCGTGCCAAGGAGGCAAAAGAAGCAAAGAAAGAATAACTGTTCTTCTGTGCTGTAACGCGGACGGTTCGTAAAAACTTAAGTTGACCATAGTTGGAAAATTTCAAAAGCCTCTGTGTTACAGGCACGAGAGCCATTTGCCATGCGTCTATCGCGCAAACAAAAAAGCGTGGATGACGGCGCCCCTGTTTGAAGAATTCTGTCTCTCCTTGACAGAAGAATGACCTGCAAGAATCGGAAGATTGTTCCGATTCTTGAACAGTGCGCCGCCCACCCGAAGCAAGTGACGCTTCAAAACTTCAAGCTGGTTTTTTACTCGCAAACACAACGACGTACTTGCAACCGTTTGATGCTGGGATTATAAAAAACGTCAAGCACCATTTGAAGAGCCTTCTTGTGCGCCGCCTGCTTGCCAAAATCAACAGAAAATACGAAGCTGGCCTGCGAATAAGCCTTTTGGACGCCATCCATTTCATCACAATGGCTTGGGATAGAGTAACACCGACTACCATTGCGAACTGCTTTGGTAAATGCGGCTTCTTTAGGATTCACGAAGAGGTGCCAGAGGTCCTTTCAGAGTCGGAAGAGCCCATTGAGGGTTGGGAATGCCTTGATACCGGGTGTTCGACTGACAAATTTTGCACAGCGGATGACAATCTTGCCACTTGTGGTGCGCGCACTGTGGAAGATATTGTCAACGAGGCCACGTGCGAGACGATGGCGAGGATATATACGAGTGCGACATTTCGAGTGCGAGTGCGAGGAAACGAGTGCAAAGAAATAAATGAGGCGAAGGACCACCACCTACGGCTGAACCTTTGCACGCGCTCGACATCCTGAGGCGTGCTATGGCTGCTGAAGAAATTAGTGACGACACGTGCACACGTTTTTATGAATTCCAGAAAAGTATGCTGAGTGAGTGACTTAACAAAAAAAAAGCAGAAAGACATCAAAGATTTCTTCTCCAAAAAATAAATTTTTTTCGAGTGCTGAAAATGAGTTAGCCTCCGACTCAGTGTTAATTTGGCTAGTTTTGCATATGTTCCAATGATACGAATTTTGGCTATTATGAATATTTTTTGTGACCCCGCAAGATTCATATCATCAAGATTCTGCTGTACTGGTCATCCGGCTTACGATGTCAGTCTAGAGTAGATGCCGATTGGGGCAGGCACATCCACAAAAAAAGCTAAATATAAAACTGTATACGATAAGCCCCTTACCTGCAAAGAATACCAGCCTCAAATTTTACAGTGCTTGCAGGAAAAGAAACATCTGTAATGCAATCTGCCCAACAATATACAATATGTGCCAGGGCTGTTATAAATCATCGACATGCATCATGTGTTCAAAAAAGTGAACAATTGAGAAAAGCAATCGGTGTAGCATACCCATGCTGCAATTGCCTGCAATGACTCCTGGACAGGAGGTGGTGGTAATGGAGGAGAATCTGTGCCAGAAAGTGTAGATGGCAGTGCCAGCTCGTCTGCATTTGCATATATCGGCTGAGAAGTCTCTGCATGAAAGAAAAAAGAAAAGAAAAGCTAAAGTCTTTTTGAATAAAAAATAAAACCCTGTTGAAATGTTTATTCTAACATCCAGGCAGGCTTGCCAACAGATCTTGGTCAACATGGCAGTGCTTGGTATCTTGCAGTCGTTGGCCCAATGCCCGTGGTTAAAAAAAGGTGCTAGACAATTGGGTGAAATTGTGGGGTAAAAAAAAACGTTGAAGAAGCATGTTTTAAAATGGAAGTACAATAGACTGTCATTAAAAGAAACCTGAAGAGACCAAGAAATGTGCTTCGTTTACAGAAAGGTGAACAGCAGCACAGCTTTTGGGTATGCAACCAATCATATTAGAGGCAGTTCCACTTAATCAGCAGTTCCCTTTCAGAGATTTCCATATAGTGAGAGCCTGCTGTATACAAAACCTAAGCCTTAGTGATATGGGCCACATTCTCACATTTTCTAGACATTACAGGAAAGAATGAAAAACCAAGCCTTTAATTTCCTTACCTGCCAGTAACCAAGTTGCAGCACCATGATGTATTTAGTTGAAACTGCATAAGCAATTAAGCCACAGATGCCAATCAAGCATGCAGACCGGTCTGCATGCTCAGTTACTTTTGAAACTTTTTTTTTATTCACACTTATGTGTGTAACAAAAAAAGCTTATGCACAAGCAGTATAACAGAACTGGACTCCCACACAGTATATCAACACATAGCATGTTTGAAACAACGAACATAAGCTGAAATGTAAGGTTGAACAAAAGCCTGTTTCTGTAATTTAAAAGGTTTCTGTGTAGATGGCATGGCAAAAAGCAAACAAACTGCTTTCTCCTACTTTTTTTTTTCTTTACTTTCCTCCCTGAGCCATGCTATCACAATAGCAGCATTGCCCCCCAATGTGAGAAACATTTTCAGACAAGCGTTTCGCACTTGGCTCATTACGCGCCAAACGTCTCTGTCATTTTGGCGACCATCTCAAATGTATTCGAAAAAACTGCTAATTTACTGCATTGAAAACGGAGAACTGCTAGAATATTTCAGAGAAAAAAATTTTTGGTCACGTGGATGCCTTCTGAACTTCCTGGAATGTCGTTTGGGCATTGTTTGTGGAAAAATTTATTTTAAAAGTACCACTCCTTCTTTCTGCACCAAATTTGGTCTACATGTTAAGTAAACAGGCTTGTGTAAGGCATTTGAAGCTCAGTAATATTAGTGCAATTTTACTGGCACATACACCTCCAAGAATTTACCCAAAATGTATGTTTGCATTTTTTTTAATGCAATACTGAACTTTGTATGAATGTCTGAGTAATGAATACTTACTCAACAAAAGGTATATTTTGAGGAAAAAAATATTTTTAGACCTCTCAAGCAGCTAAACTTTATGAGAAAAATTCACAAATGTTGCAAAATCGTCATTTTTGTCCACACTGAGACGAAATTAACACCATGTGGTGGTCCTATTAAAAATCACTTTTATACATCACTCATAAGCAAATAAGCAGTTCTTTTTATATAGAAACTATTATCACTACATTTTTGTTTTAAGGAAGAAAATAATTTTTGAAGTTTCCTATAGATCGCTATCTTCCCATTTGGTCATACAACAGTTGTCACCTTGAAATTCCCCATTGCTGTCAATGGGAAGGTTCAAAAATTATTTTCTCCCTTAAAACTAAAAAATGTAATGATAAAATTTGCCATGTGAAAAAAACTGTTTATTTGCTTTTGATTTAAGTATAAAAGTGATTTTTAATTGAACCACCACATGGTCCAAATCCCATCTTAACAGAGACAAAAGTGAAAATTTTGTGAAATTTGTGAATTTTTCTCGTAACGTTTAGTAGCTTGAGAGACCAAAATATATTTTTTCCCGAAATATACCCTTTGTGAAGTAAGTATTTATTATTCAGATATTCATACAAATGCAGTATTGCAATGAAAAAAATATAAATATAACACAATTAGGCTAAATTTTTGGAGGCATATGTGCCAGAAAAATTGCACTAATAATACTGAGCTTCAAACACCTTACACAAGATGTAGACCAAATTTAGTATAGAAAGAAGGAGCGGTACTTTTACACAATTAGGCTAAATTTTTGGAGGCATATGTGCCAGAAAAATTGCATCAATAATACTGAGCTTCAAACACCTTACACAAGAACTTTTACTTAAGATGTAGACCAAATTTAGTATAGAAAGAAGGAGCGGTACTTTTCAAATAAATGTTTCCACAAACAACACCTAACGGCATTCCAGGAGTTCAGTAGGCAGCCACGTGACCAAAAAATTTTTTTCTCTCGGAAATATTCTACCGTTTCAGTGTTTTCAATGCAGTAAATCAGCACAACTTTTTTCAAATACATTTAAGATGTTGCCAAAATGGCTGGGACGTTTGGCATGGAATTACCCACTTGCACTTACAGTGAAAAGCTCATCAGGCTAGGATAGTACGTATCAGTAGTAAAATTCCCTTCACAGCCCTTTATGAATATATCATCTTTCCTAGATTGGCACATTCAGACAAGATCACACTAACAGCAAAGCTTTTACAAGGACCACAGCCAGTAACTTTGTCATCATTACCTAAGGTTGCACAAAATGGCAACCTTAGAGGGATAATGATGTCCCTGTGCCATGATTCCTCCCCCCCTTTCATATCAAGGAGACTACAACACCAATACGCTTTTGTTGTGCCAACCTCTCTGTCCTAAACAGCCAACAATCTGCCCTATGATGAAACCGAGCTAGCGCAAGCAGCTCTGATGATAGTGAGGATGGTCCTCTGTATTAAGGAAGAGTACTTGTGAGATGACAAAGCTTTAACTCACTTGTGAACTCTCTTTACTGAACACAACTGCAAGAACTGACTGAGCTGCCCACAGCAGCATCTGCATTTCACGAAAAGTGTTTTTGCATCGAGCACAAGGAGTAGTTAAAGACCCCTTTGCTGTCACACCTTTTCCTTAACATGACTCACTGTGTCATTCTCAATTTAACCCTTTGGTAGAGAAAACCAGAGAACCAATGTTATTGTGTTGAAAAAATTTTTAGTGAGTTATTGATCACTTTTTGTTTCCAAGAAAGCCCATCTGAAAGTCGAGAAGTGCGTTATTGCAAAGAAAGAAGTGGGACCCATATGTCCCAATGTACAGTTGAGACAGTTTATATATTCTTGTAAAATGGTCTGAAGCAATTTGCACATAGCGAAACGTTACACACAATGCACATGAAGTTCGTGCGCAGTTTATATTTGCTAGTTGAGCACCAACAGTACCGCTATTGCGTTCCCGTCAAGTTCTGGTGGTGAGTGTTTCGGGAGAACCACTGCTTATTCCGAAAACCAGTAATCGCACCATCAGTGTTTTGTTAAGATTCTCTGTTAAGCTTTCAATAGCTTAAGTGCTTTTCAACAGTGAGATGCCTTTTCTCATCTTCAGAAAAAGAAATGTGGCTGCTACGCACTAGTAGTGCGAAGACTGAGGAAGCAGCTTAGCTGGTGGCGCTGCCCTCCTCCTTTTTCTTCTCCTCAGCATCGCTTTTTTTTCTCATCTTGCCAGGAGACTATGCCATGCTTTACCCGCTTATCTCATCCTCACGCTCACTTCAATTTCGCAACTCTTTCTATGCTATACATAGTGTGCACGTGAGTCACGCAGCGCCCCTTCATCACTTCCGAAATGCACCACCGATATGCCCTGGTACCAACAGACTCCGTCGCCTACCGCTGCGGTGTTGTCTCCTTGTGCTTGTGCCCGTTTAGTTTTGCCTCACAATGCAAGTTTTAGGGCTGCTAGTGAGGCAAGTTGATATAGTAGTCCCCGAAGAGGGAGCAGAGCTTCGGAGTGTTTCTTCGCCGAAAGTTATTACCTGAAATTGAGAACGCACATTGCGATTTTCCTAAAAGTACCGGCGTGTTTGACTGGGGCGGAATAACAAAAAACTACTTGAAGAAACTCGGTGATTGTTTGCATCTTCAGGTGCAACTTCATTCCGGGTAAGTGCCATAGCCAAGCACTTACCTGCAAATAGAGATAGCTTACCAAAATACTGTACATACAAACTTGTCCGCGACCACTGCGTGCACAATCAGCGTGTCAGGGAGACGGTTAAAATCGTGATGGTGATAGCTGACCGGTTAGAGTTGGGGGGGTCAGGATTTTGAAAAATTGGTCAAATAATTCCCTAACGCGGTCTCCGTCATTTTAAGGGACTCCACTGTACATTAGCGTACAAAAAAGTAAAATACAAAGTGAAAAAGATGTCAAAACATACGCGCAAAAAAAAAAAAGTTATGACCGGCATTACCGCTGCATACACCACGCGAAGTCTCTATCGGCCTCGCATAATATTTTCCTCGGCTGTTACCACAAATTTCTATCAAAGAGGCTCAACATCAGCACTGTTTAAAATACTTGGGGGGGGGGGGGGCACTACTACTTTGGTGGCATGGGCCGCAGCAATATATTAATATTATATCTCTTGTAAACTTGCCTAGCTCTGCACGATCCGTTTTCGATGAGAGCTGCTGCGCTTCGCTCATCCACTCTTGAAATTGCGGCTCGAGAGACTTTGAGCTATCACTTGTTCTTGCGCCATGCAATTTGTAGTGTCTGTAGTGAAAGCGGGATACTGGGCCCTCGTAGGTCGTGGCGGGCAGCCGGTGTACGTGGTGGCTGGTATACATGTCGCACATCTTGATTTTCTGGTCTTGTATCAAGTGAACAAATGAGGCCTTCCTGATCCGATGAGCTCGTTAAAGTTCGACAATAAAAAACCACAATGCTACCCTTTCAACATTGTACACAGCAACAGATGACGAGCCCCCAACAAACCGCGCTGCAGCACTCGAACTGCCGTAGGTATGGTGGGAGAGGATGACAACGGTGCAAGTGACATCACATGAACAGTATGTATACTATGTGCGGCTATGCATACTCTCTCTTCTTTCTCTGTCTTTCTAACTCCTTTCTTTATCTTTCTTTCTCTTTGTACTCATTCTCTCTTGTTATATCTTTTTCTCTTTCTTCCCCTTATTTCTGCCTTTCACTTCTCCTGCTCTATCTTTTTCTCTTTCTTCCCTCTATTTCTGCCTTTCACTTTCTTTCTACAAATCTCTATCTTTCTCTCAATCTGTAATAGTTCTCTCGCCCATCAGAGTCACAGTATCTCATGCAGGAAAAATTGGCAAAGCACAAGATGAGCAAAGCACAAAAGCAATAAGAGAAAAGCAGAAGATTAAAAAAAAAAAGAAAAGAACAATATAAAGAAGAGGACAAAGAGCGTGTGTCCATTCATGATGCCGATGTCATTGTGGTGTCGCCATGCGGTGTAGCAAAAAGCTCAAGAGCTCATCTGAACATGAGGCAGTCAGAGTTTGCATGCGTGCTTGATGCATAGCAATTACATGTGTGCTTCATGAATGCAATCGCTATGCATGAAGAACTTGAATCACACCACTTTTCGTAACACACGTACAGTTCATTTATCCATGCTTTGGCATCACAAAAAGCAGCTGATAGTTTTTGCAAAGTTGTTTCTGTGGTGCAAAAAAGATCATTTATTTCCAAAAATCTTTTACTCTGTCTAAATTGGGGGACAAAAACCAACAAAAACTGAAATGCGGAAATAAAAAAAGAAAAAGTGGTCCTTGACTTGTTGTGTGCTTCCACCAACAAAATGTCACGAAACTGTGTAAATATTATTGTGGTACGCTCAATGAATGCAGTTAGTGGTTTGGATGTGGTAGTACGAGCTCTGTCAAGGAGGTGCAGAAGCTAAAATGAGGAATAAAAAGTGGGACGTTAATGCCCCACTGTCCAAAAAAGGATTAAGTGTAGAACCCTTTCACTAAGCCTCCAGGTCTCTGACCTGTAGGTAAATACTAGTAAGATGTAGCTGCTCTATACAGTTGAACCCCTTCAAAACCAACATGCACTTGAGAACAATTCTCGTCTTTTATAAATGGTGTCTCTAAAAAGCAGGATGCTACGTTAGCATTTTCCTAACCATTTCGACCTCAAGCTGAAACTCATTGTGAAATCAAACTCACCAAAATATCACTGACCAGAACTCGCTCAGACTCAACCCCGTATTCACAAATGATTCTCAACTGAAATTTTATCTTTCACTTGACGGAGTTAAGACTGCGCCGCTGCTCGACTGAAAATGACGCTGCGCTCCTGAAAAATCGCTGCAGATTATCGCCGATATGCATTGGCTTGCGGTTTTTAGAGACGGAACTCCCATCAACTTTCTCAAGTCAAGGTGATGCATTGAGTGAAGGGACGTTCTAGAATACGAAGTCAGACTCATGGCCTCATCTGAGTCTGAGTAAGTCGACTCATAAGTGAGTTCGCCAGCTTATGCCGGTAGGTAAGTGCCAGAAATTCATAATAAAGGTGCACTTTTTAGGGTCTGTTATCAGTTCATCAACCTACCTTGACTTTGTAGCTGTGCACCTGACACTGTAGATACAGCTGAGGCTGCATGTTTCAACACAGCTGGCTTCTCTGGCAAAGTTGGTGCAGTACTGGTGTTCGATGTGGTCCTGGAGAGTAAGAACATTACCAGTCAGGCTCAATGCAGGATAGGACCCTTTTCTAGAATGAATGGGGAGCTAGACGTGCCTGATGGGTACTGGTGGCCGAGGCCCTCTAGTGGGTGTCTGAGGAGACTTTGGCCTCGCGCCCCCTGTGGGCCCAGATTGTGTTGCCAGCTCCAGGCCATCCGAGCTGTCCCCCGATGTTGAAGTAAGTGTGTCAGCACTGCCACTATGATTGGAGCCACTGAGTAAATCGCCTTCAAGGGGTTGAAATGTCTCCGCCGTAAGCAGAGGCCTTGCCTGGTGGCCGGACCGCTCATATGCTAAAAAAAGTGAGAGAGAAGAAGTGAGAGGAAACCACTGCTAGACAAACTAGCTATGTACAGTGGCCGACAGCTCAATTAGACAACAGAAACTGCCAATAAGTCACAATAATAAAAAATAAAAGAAAGATAACACAAAAATATTTACAACAAATATGTACAATAAAAGCTCGTTAATTCAGATTTCTAGGGACCAGAAAAAATGTCCGAATCAACCGAATGTCCGAATTATCGAATGGTCGAATGAACACATTAATTTCAAGAGTTCTGTCAACATACCTTTACTTCACAAAGTAATCGTGGATGCTCGTCTGTTTCAGAGCCGAAATTCGCGCGGACACACTATTTTTCTATGCCCTTCAAGGTACTCAGTAGCTCGCATGCTGTCTTCTGTGTCAAAACAAAATTTTTCAAGGACGACGAGGGCCTTGGCGGCTTCCTTCACAGTACGAGTGGGCCTGTGTGGCTTATGGTGTGGCTGCTCCTCTTTAGGCTCTTTGTCGGATTTGTTGCCATGCATCACTTCCTTGACGATTTGCTCATTGGTCAGGGAGCCGGCAGTAGCAACGCCCCTATCAATGGCGATGTAATCGTCCACTGTCACTTCATCACGCATAACGCTTCCGAAATCTTGGCAGTCATCAGCATCGTCGTCCAGCGACACTTCGTCCATGGCGGCGTCAGGCACAACAAATCCACAGTGCCTGAAACAGTTCGCGATGGCATGCACAGGTGTGTTCTTCCACACATACGCAAGAATGCTAACTGCGCTCAGAAGACTCGCATCGTATTGTTTGCCGACGTCATAGAGCAGCATCCGTTCCAATACGCACCTACGGCACTTCATTTTGACGTATTGGATAATGACCTGGTCAATGGGTGAAACACTGACGTCATATTCGGCGGCAAAAAAGCATCTTCAATATTGTTCAGTCCGGTGACACTGTTATGTACACTGCAGTTGTCGAGCCCGATTAACACTGAGGTATTTCGCACCAAACTGTCGATCCAACTTTTGGATCCAGGTTGCAAATATTTCACCCGTCATCCACGCTTTCCAGTCGGCCCGGTAATCCACGGGAAGATTCTTGATATTCTTAAAGCAGCATGGCTGCCTTCCCAATAATGAGCAGCGGCAAGCGCTCTGTGCCCGTCATGTTGGCGGCTGAAAGTACGATAACTCGTTCCTTGCTTCTCTTTCCACCGATACAAGGATCCTCTTTCGTGGTCACAGTTTCATCTGGTAAAGCTTTGAAAAACAGTGCTGTCTCATCACCGTTAAATATGTCATTTGCATCGTAGGCGGCAAGATGCTCCAGCAGCTGAGTGCTCTTCCAGTGGCTGACCGTGTCTTCGCTCACGGCACCTGTTTCACCACAAGCTGTCTTGAAAACAAGGCCGTGCCTTTCCCGGAACCATGCACACCATCCTTCTGACGCTCTGAAGGAATCAATGTCCATCATCGCTGCAAACTTTTCAGCTTGCGCCATAATCAGCAGTCCACTCAACGGCAGGTTTGCATTATGTGAGCTGACCACTCATCGAAGAAGGGCTTCTTCGAACTCTAGGTGAGCTGTTGTTCACAGCCGCTTTCTCAATGTGATGAACTTCTCACCTTCAAACACCTGCAGAATCTGCTCTTCATTTTTAACATATTGTTACGGCAATGAAGTAAAGGAAGAGGAAGGACACAATCAGCTGAGAGGTGCGCGAGTGTGCCAATCAGCCATTGTGACTCTTGTCTGTGGCTTTTCCTCTGTAAAAGCATTTTGTACAGAAGTCACCGACACCGTAACATATTGGTGAGAGGTGCTGGGTAACCATCAGGCAACAGAGCTCCGCAGCGAACGTCACATCGGCTTTCCAGTCATGGCCAATGCCGAGTCCTCCACATCAACATCAGCGTCTTTGACAAACACGGCGTTGCAACCATACGTTTTCACGCCACTTAAGGATCCCGGTACATTCTGCAGGACTAATGGCGTCAACGTTGACGATTGGTTGGCCATGTTCGAACGAGTGAGTGTGCCGAAGAGATGAGATCCCAAGTTCAGTTGGCTAATGTGCTGTTTTACTTGAGAGGCACGGCCAAGGTATAGTGAGAAAACAACGAAGAAGAACTCAAAATCTGGGACTCATGCAAGGAAAAGATGCGAGAGGTGTTAGGCAAAACCGCCAGTCGTAAGATCGCCGCCAAAAAGGAATTGGCCTGCCGTACCCAATCCCCAACAGAATCATACCTTGCATACATTCAGGACGTGCTGGCCCTCTGCCGTAAGGCCGAAAGCGACATGACAGAAGGTGACAAGGTCGGGCATGTCCTGAAAGGGATTGCAGACGACATGTTCAATCTCCTGATGTGCAAGGGCTGTTCAACCTTGGACGCGATCATCAAAGAGTGTCGTCAGTTTGAGCAACTGAAAAGTCGCCGCATTCTGCAAACGTTCGCCCGACTTCCAAACACCGCTGCAACATCGACTTGCGAGGACCAGTCCACACCAAAACGTCCATCGCCACCTGGAGACCTGACAAGCATTGTTCGTCGCGAATTGGAAGCAATGACGCCCTCGGCGTTCTATTCGTGCAGTACCGATACCACTCCTGTTACTGTTCCTTTTGTTCAAGCCATCGTGCGCCAGGAGCTTGAAAACATCGGAGTGCACTCTGTGTGCCATGTCAACACGCCCAGAGTCAGCGAACGCCCTTTCGCGATGCCCCCCTCCAACCGACAATTTTCTTCACGTACCCGCAACACAGCTGAGTGGCGAACTGCAGATGACAGCCCTATATGTTTCAACTGCCACTGCGTTGGACATATTGCTCGTTACTGCCGCAACACATGGTCCTCGGCACCCCGTGCAACGACCCATATGACCCATTTCGATGATACCGCCCACACCTTTTCACCTGCGGAAGAGTCCAATGCTGTTGACCAATCTCAGAACACTGGGTACAGCCGCTCGCCTTCACCACGTGGGCACCAGTCTCGTTCGCCGCAAATACGCCGTCCATCGTTCGCCGCAGCCACGGCGCTTCTCGTCTTCCGTGGCTTCTGGCCGCATCGTCTCGGAAAACTGAGAATTGCAGCCCCCGGAGGTGGTTCCGCAGCAAATCCTCTCTCCGTTTCCACCAGACGAAGTGTAATAGACGTTGAAGTAGACGGCGTACCTGGACAAGCCCTTGTAGACACCGGCGTAAGCATTTTGATCACGAGTTCAAGCCTACGCACATGTTTAAAGAAAGTTCTGACACCAGCGGCTGCACAAATGCTCCGTGTGGCCGATGGCGGCACGCCGATAGTTCTCGGTCTGTGCACTGCCCGCTTAAGTATAAAGGACCACACTAATACTGTCATTTTAGCCGGCCCCGCCGCGGTGGTCTAGTGGCTAAGATACTCGGCTGCTGACCCGCAGGTCGCGGGTTCGGATCCCGGCTGCGGCGGCTGCATTTCCGATGGAGGCGGAAATGTTGTAGGCCCGTGTGCTTAGATTTGGGCGCACGTTAAAGAACCCCAGGTGGTCGAAATTTCCGGAGCCCTCCACTATGGCGTCTCTCATAATCATATGGTGGTTTTGGGACGTTAAACCCCACATATCAATCAATCATCATTTTAGCCGTGATTGACCACTGCCCTTATGACGTTATCCTAGACCTGGACTTCTTGCCGAATCATTCTGCTCTTATAGATTGTGCTACCGGCATCCTTCAGCTAGAGCTGCCTCAGATAGTCGCTGAACCCCACACTACCCCGCCACGCCTGTGCTCTCTTCAAGATGTACGACTGTCACCTCAGGCAACCACCTAAGTTGTTTTGACCGCACAGCCACAGGTTCCTGATGGTCAATATGTCCTCCTTCCTCTTGCCGACGTCCTTTCGAGCCGCAACATCGTCATTCCCCATACGCTTGTGACTGTCGCTGACAACTGTACCTCGCTCCCACTTCTCAATTTCAGCTTGTGCCCTCAAGTGCTTCCTCGTGGCATGTTCTTGGCCAGCGTATCGAACGCTGATGAATTCGAAATAGCGGCTCTCACCACAGAGATTGATTTACTTCAGTGTCCTGTAGATAACAGCACCTGTTCTCTGCCAAATCGTTTCTCGAAGATGATTGCACCCGACCTCAATTCTGCACAAGCCAACGACATCCATCGCCTTCTCGCGTCATATACCGACATTTTCGATTTCGCCGACAGACCTTTAGGGCAAACATCCAGTGTTCAGCACCGTATAAACACTGGTGACACCAGTCCTATTCGCCGACGCCCCTATCGTGTCTCCCACACTGAGTACTGAGTTATCCAAGTGGAAGTTGACAAAATGCTCAACAGAGGTGTAATAGAACCAGCAAGTTGTCCTTGGGCCTCCCTTGTCATCCCTGTGAAGAAAAAAGGATGCTACCTGGCGCTTCTGCGCTATCGCCACCTCAACAAGATCACGCGAAAAGACGTATACCCGCTACCACGCATCGATGACTCGTTAAGACTGCTTGCACATTCTTTTTGTCTATTTATCTTCGGTCCGGCTACTGGCAGATTTCTGTCGTTGAGATGGACCGTGAGAAGACTGCCTTCATTACACCGGATAATTTATGCCAGTTTAAGGTCATGCCTTTTGGACTATGTAACGCCCCTGCCACATTCGAACGAATGATGGACTCTCTCCTCCGTGGTTATAAGTGGTATACTTGTCTCTGTTATCTAGATGATGTGATAGTCTTTTTATCTATTTTCAATAGCCACCTGACCCGTCTCGCTGCAATTCTCGCAGTCTTCAGAACAGCTGGGCTACAACTCAACTCCAAGAAATGCCAATTTGGACGCTGTCAGATTACCATTCTGGACCATCTTGTAAATGCCGATGGCGTCCAACCAGATTCCGAAAAGATCCGTACCGTCCGTAGCTTTCCGGTGCCCCTTTCTACATCCGACGTCCAGAGCTTCATCGGCTATTGTTCCTACTTTCGTAGTTTTGTGAAAAACTTTGCCGACGTTGCCAAGCC